CCCTCCATCAATTTCCCACCTTGGGTAGCCATGGTGGGATTTGATCAGGGCTGTGTAAAAGTTTTCTGGTCTAGTTGGATTCAACTTAAGACAAATTAGGTCCTGTTCGGTTTGGATAAAAATTGATTTTTCAGGATCAAAAAGATCAAATTCTTTCTTTGGGTTGGCTTTGATAAGGGATTAAGCATTTGGACCATTTGGTCAAGTTTGGTATTGTAAATTTACTTAATATAATTATAATTAATTTATTAATTATTATTACAATAAGTTAATTTATAATAGTAATTAGTATTTTTTTTATTTTATACTTGTTAAGTTATGAATATTGAGCAAAATTTGATCAATCTCAGTCTTCTCCTTTTATTAGTAAAATTTGTTGTTAACTTAGTGTAATGGACTTTAGATATATTAAAAATTATTTAATTTGAATCATTTGTGTTGTAATTGAAATATATATATATATATATATATATTGGGGATGATTGTGGATTTATAATTGGTGTGATAAATTTTGTATGACTATAAATAATTTTATTATGTTAAAATAAATTGTTACCTTTTATAGATGAAAAGGGAGAAAAAAAAAACAACACGAGATTCTGGACAAGATCAAGATGAATTTCTTAATTCTACTAGACCAATCGGGTCTAGTTCAGTTTCCGTTATGCTAAAATCAGACTAGATCATGGAATGTTTAAACTCATTTTTTTTTTAATGAAAAGGACCAACTTTTAAGTTAGGTTAAAATTCTGTCGGATTAATCATTTGTTCAACCTTAGATTTGATCAAAGGGGCAGGCATTGAAAGACGTGGTCACTGGTGAGCAACATTTGCTAGCCTATCATCACGACAATTGTTCTGTCCTAACAGCCTGATGTCTTCCAGAGTGTCCCTGTAAGGGTGATCAGTAGCATTATCTCCAGGGATTAGGTTGATGCTCCCACACATTAGCACGAAAACTTAACTTTCTTAACATTCTTGGCCCACCAAGCTTCATTCATTTTTGAAGAGCTCCCACACACAAAAGATACTCTTGCACTAAAGCATTTCTCATCTTGTGCATTTTGGGCAAAATTCCATTACCATATTTGTATTTATTAACCAACAATTCAACCCACAGGTCATTGTTGGTACAAACGAGCTTCCAACAAAGTTTCATAATCAATGCTTCATTTTGTAGTATGACGTCTTTGATTCCCAAATCCCCTTCATTTTTCAATTTTAAAGCTTCCTCCAAGAGCTATGGAGGGGGAGGAGGGGGAGATGAGGTCGTGAAAACAAGAAATTTTATTATCCAATATTTAAAATTAAATATAAATGAGAAACCCTATGATTTTTTATAGAGCCCTATAAATAATAATAATAATAATAATAATAATAAATCTAAATCTGAATTAAATCATAATATAAATGATGTCGATAAGGTATCAAACTAATTTAGATATTTTATTTTATTTGAGATAATATTTAAAGATAAAAATAAATCATATATACTAAATCAAATAATACTAAACCCTAGGTATTAAATCAAATCTAATACACCTTAAATTATCTAATGGATATTCAATATCCTTATTCAAACAATCTTAATAAAATAATCCTAAATAAAATCAATTAAATCCTATTCATATTCCTACACTTAACTATCTAACTATTTTTTTTCTTTTGGCTGACATGTTAGTTTTAGTTAAAGATGCCTTGTATTTAAAATAAGAAACATTTGGTTTAATTGGCTAAAGGAGTTGAATCCTCTCACCCTATAATGTCGACTTCAATACTCATGTGTGAGATTGTTGTCGGTAATAACGGTTTCACATGGACAGTGAAGGTTCGGATTAATATGAAATAAGGGTAATATAGTATAACAAATTTTGATAACTGCAATACAATTTTTTTTATAAATGATATTTCCATTAAAAGGGTGATTTTTATCCTAATTAAATTAACATATATTAATTAGGCATATCCCCCTCGTACCTCAAGAAGTATACCTGTACAAGAAATGAGCTGCATTATTAGCCGAATTTATAAACATGCTATAAATTTTGTATTTTACATAGATGATATTGTATCAGTTATATAATTTAACTTTATACAATATCGTATTTGAGTCACTAAACATTCTTAAAAATTTTATTAGACTTGTACAACTTATTCATCAACAATGTACCCTATTCTAAATTCATGTGATTTTTTCCTCTTCGAATGATGAAGTCACAAAAATTTTCCCCATTGAGGTGTAAAGGACATTAAATCTTTTTTTTTTCCCCCCTAGAAGCAGAGATTAATAGATTATTACGCTACTCAGAGCAGTTTAAAGAGATGAAAAGATGAAAATGTGAACTTTTCAAACTATTACTTTTTCCGACCTTTTCACTTTTACCATCGACTTTGCAGTGTTGTGAAATGGGGAATGCTTTTTCAGTTTTTATTATTCATCCCAATTTTATTGACAATAAAAATTTTCACTGTCATGTTTTTAATTATTAATAAATAAATTGACTCTTCAAAGCTTATGAAACGTGTTTGACTAGAAGTATTTAAATTCAGAAATATTTCTTTTGCATGAGGCACCATCTTATTAGAGGAAGAAATATTAAAAATATTTTAAGATTAAAAATTTAGTTCTGAATAGCTCTGAACAGGCACAATTTTTTACCTCCTTGGATGAGTATGTCATTTTTTTTGTTTATATAAATAAAAGTTTAAATAAGTTGTCTTTCAAGGCTCACCGAGAAATTTTTTTTTATCAGTAATAGGATTTCAATCTCACAACTTTATAAGTTATAAATTAAATTTTTACTAATTAGATCTTTTATGGATGAGTATAATCATTTTATATGCATATATGAACCGTACACATCTAATTTAAGCAATCTAAATTAAATTTAAAAAGTCAAGATTTTATAAAATATTTATTAAAATATAAACTATCCACGTCTGATTTGGGAAATTTAAATTAGATATGCATCATGCATGTTCCTAAATCCCAAAAAAACGTTAGGGATGCGGGGAAGATTGTTTTACAGAACAAGAAAACATATTTTTAACAACACAGGAAAAATATGTTTTATTATCAATTAATTATATCTATCTCCATATATTTATAAACAATCTATTGTCCAAAAAGGAAACAATGAGGGTCATCTATTTTTTTTTAATTTTTATTTGAGTCCACATTTTTATCTCCGCTTTAATTTGAATCGAGTCAAGGACCACAATACATGAAGTATTTACTATAGTTACATAATTAGAATTTAGATTTAAAATCTACTATTAAGTTATATTCTATAATCTTTCATCAACTTACGGCCTATTTGACTACACAATTTTCACTTTTGAAAAGTACTTTTTCACTTTTCATATGGGAAAAGTTATTTAAATATTACAGTTTTTAAATATTTCTTCTTTTTTGGTAAGCTATTTTTTAAACATTTTTAATATTTATTTGTATAATAAAAATTATAAATAATCATAAATCAATATTTTTTTTTATAATTGTACATTCAAAAACATATTTCATTGTATATAATTTAAATTAATAATTTATCAAAATAGCTTTTAAAAAAATATATTCAAACTCAAATTTCATTCAAACAATTACTTTTAGCAAATACAATTTTGACAAATTAATTTTTAGTCAATAGAACCCAACCATGCACTTAGTATTTTTAATGAACACTTAGACCTCATTTGATATGATGGAAGAGTTTTTCATAGAATCGGAATTGAAATTGAAATTGAAATTGAAATTAGAATCAGAATAAAATTGAGTTATAAATGTATGTTTGGTATGAAGATGGAATTTGAATATATTATTAATAAATATATATATTTAAAATAGATAAAGACCAAAATGCCCTTATAAAAAAAAAACTTAGCCATTATGATGAAGTGTATATGTAGGGTACTTATAACAATTTCATGAAATTGCGGCAATTCCATCATGATGGAGATAAAATTGAATTTTGAGTATTTTGACAGAATTAAAATTCATAAAGAATTGGATTCATGCATATCAAACTATTGAAAGCATGATTTCAATTTCAATTTCATTTCTCTTGGAATCAATTCTAATGTACCAAATATAACCTTAGTGTCAATTGATTCTAACTTAGAACTCCTTAAAACTTGAATGGACTCACTTGTAACTTACATGAACTCAAGAAAGCCAAACAAACTTGACAAAACTTGGTGCTATAAGATATGAATCCAAGCCCCACCGTCATGTATTAAAAGCTTACGATATAAGTTGAAGTTTATATTTTTACTACTATGATTTTATCTTTGTTTCTTTTTGGAGTTTAAATTAAATTTGGGAAAGGGAGAAATAATTAGGAGTGAAAGAATGTTAAAATGAAGAAAGAAAAGAAGCAATTGGGGGGCAGCTAGTTCGTTGTGGCATTCACTGCATCTGCACATCACCAGCTATTTCCAGCTCCTTTTCTCTCTCTGCCCCCCATTTTTCCCTAACCCTAATCAAATTCTTGACACTGACCTTTTTCTTCTTCCCTTTTTTCAAAATTTAAACAAAAATTAAGTTTATATAAATTCAATTTTATACAGTATATGTTTTTGGCCTCAATAAATATTTATAAAGATACTTCTCACATCGGTAATGGGGCTTCAAACCACATTTTATATGTTGTAGGAGTAAATTTTTATCAATTAAACTATAACATTTGTTGCCTTAAACTTTTTTATATCTGATGATTTATTTACTGTTTATTTAGTACTTGATAACTACTTTTTATATGGTTAAGTATTACATTATTGTTTAAAAATTTGACACATTTTTATTGATAGCTGATAAAATATTCAAATCTTGATTTACTTACATAATTTTTAATAATCATCTTTTATTCATCAATAATAATAATAATAATAATAATAATAATAATAATAAACAACGAGTCCTTATTGTGAAATTCACCTTTTCCCTCTTCTTTTCCCAAAACGTTGTTCATCATCAATCCAATTGTATCATATGATTGAAAATGTACGGGTGATCGGTGAGAAATTTTCAAGAATCGAATCTCGTTTGAAAAAAGAAAAATTACGTGATTTTCGGCTTAAAGAAAAGTGTGAGCGTGAGAGAGAGTCGGGTTGGGTCCTAGAAGAAGCATGAGTCACGCATGGGATACACTGAGAAAGTCTGCTTCTCCAACCTCTGTCAACATTTCACAATGAAGCTTCAATGTGGGTTCATTACAGTGAGTCTTCACCTCCCCAATCTCATACCTAAACTTTTCATCTGAGTCTCCTCTTGATTTGTCGCTGGAATTTGGGTCTTTCTGATTCTGTTTATTATAGCCATTTTACTTTGTTTTTCATTTTCTTTCGAATCAAGATTTGCCCATTCCTTGCTCATTTAAATCTCAAAACAGGTAAGAATTCCAAGATTTGTTGTTGACCCATTACAGGAATTTGGTTGCTTGAAGGAGGGGTTTTGATATAATTCGATGATTTAGGTGAAAAAGTAATATGGAAATTGGAAATTTCAGGGTTTGGCCTCTCACTCTTGGTGGGTTTCATTGAATTTGAAGGTACGAATGAGATCTTGATGAGGGTCCGAACCAGTTTCTTTGTACTGCTCGCATTGCCATGTCTTTTTTCTCTTCCATTTCTAAATGCTCAGTCATGGCCATCACCAAATTCTTCTTTATCAGCACGCTCATTGGATGCCCTTCTCCAGGACTATGCCTTTAGGGCCTTCATTAGGCCAAGAACTGGTGTACCCTACGACGGGAAAGTTCCTTCTAACCTAACAGGAATTAGCATTGCGGCGTTAAGGCTTAGGAGTGGTAGTTTGAGAATCAGAGGCGTTGATAGCTATAAGGAGTTTCAGATCCCAACTGGGGTTGTTGAACAACCTTATGTGGAGAGGCTTGTGTTGGTATATCACAACTTAGGCAATTGGTCTGATCATTTTTACCCTTTACCTGGTTACACTTATTTAGCTCCTGTTTTTGGTCTGTTAGCCTATTCTGCTGCAAATTTGTCTGCAACTGAGTTGCCTGAACTGGACATAAGAGCATCTGATCAGCCAATTTTGATCAAGTTCCCGGATGTGAAGAAGCTGAAGCAGCCACACTCTGCATCACCAACATCACCATCACCCAAATGTGTGTACTTTGATTTAAACGGTTCAGTTCAATTTGACATACTATTACCCGGAAATGTGTGTTCAACAGGTCAACAGGGGCACTTCTCCATAGTTGTGGAAGAGTCTGAATCTCCATCTCCTTCACCGTCACCAGCACCTTCTGCTTCTGGTGGAGTCCCAAGTGAAGAAGGTCATGGGATGAAGAAGAAGAAGAAGAAGAAGAAGTCTTATATTGCATGGATAGTTGTTGGATCTGTGGTTGGTGGGTTGGCTTTGTTGGTAGTGTTGTATCTTGTGGTTGTTAGGGTTAGGAGGTCCAAGGAAGCGATGAGGATACAGGAAATGGAATGGGCTGCAGATAGCAGTGAAACCTTGCACATGGCATCCATTGGAGGAGGGGCCAAAGCACCTCTAGCTATGGGGACTCGTACAAGACCAGTCATAGAAACTGACTATGTTCCTTAGGATCTCTGACTCTTTATTCTTGCAGCAGCATTGTTTGGTTTCTTCTTCTTATTACCTTCACTGGGATTTTGATTTTTCTGTTCATAATGAGCCCTCATGCTCAAGTTCAGTTCAGTTCAGCTTTCTTGGTTGTAATCTGTTTGAGTTCTTTCTTTCATTCTCTTCTGCTTACATTGGCATGAGGTAGGATCCTTTCTTCTATGTTACAATAACACTCTTCTGTGAAAAAAGTTATCAGATCCATTGAGCTACTTAGAACCTTTGTTAAGCGCTTTTTGGTTTGTAATCAAACCTGCGTTGCTAGCTTGTTTCAATGACTAAATCCAAAAGCAATTTGGGTTACAATCTGCACCCTCCTCCTCCTTGTGTTTTGTTTTCTTCCAAAAACAATTTAGATTATACCTATCCCTCCCAGTTGTTGTTTTGGTTAGATTTATTTGTTTAAAATTTTTAATCTTTTTTTTTCGGGGCTATCCTTTCTTAACAACAATAGCTGGAAATAAATTTTTCTTTGACTCATCATTTTTTTTCATGCAATTCATTTCTATGAAGGGGGAAAAAGGATTGTTCATGTAAGATTCATATTGCCTATGGTTATTCCCCTTGACAATGAAGCAACAAAAAAAACTCTCTTTGAAACGAGGGGAGTGCAAACAATGGTGACAATTATTGAAATAGACAATGACAATTGCAATTTCAGTTTCCAAATCTTAATTGCATATTAGATTGATTGTAGTTTGATTGATATGTCATGACATTGATTAATGAATGCTCTCTGTCTCTATTTATAAAAATCTGTTCGGACATTGACATAGATCAATAAAATAGTTAATGTGTTGTTTCTTATTTCTAATTTTACCCTTAATATAATGTCTCTTCTTTTTCTTGGTGAGAAAAGTAGACTTTTATTTTCACTATTATTCATCAATTATTTAGTAGGGATGTATCTCCTAAAACTACAAACAAATTCTTATAAAAAGGCACAATATATCTCTAAAATAGGTTATTATAAATAGTATTAAAGGGAGTGACAATTAAGTGCTTTTTTTTTTGTTCTAGTGACCTTGAAACCATGTTTTCTCAAAATCTTTTTGAGGGAAGCTTTGCCTTAGAAAACCATCTAGCAATGTGGAATTGGGTACACTTTTCCTGATCATGTGTAAAACTTGTTATCTTTTTTCTTCTATCACATTAAAACTTGTTATCTCAATTTCACAAGGGGGAGATCTATGTTATCATACATGCAACTTCTGTAAACAATGGGGTAATGTTTTAAAAACTGAATCGCATGATAAGATAAAAAAGTCAATGGGTCATAGTTTTTACAATTTAACTAATTAGATTGGTAATCAACTAATGACATGGTAATTAAAGAAAAATAATATTCATATGCAAACACACATATAATATTAAAAATAATGATAATGTCAGTTTAATTTAGAGTTATTTAGTCATAATATATTAAGTTTCAATGTCCTTACTTTTTTTCACATGTATATTTTTTATTTATCTTATCTGTCCTTTTAAAGCAAATGAGATTTCAATTTTTCTACAATTTAATTCATACAATGCCAATAAACAAATCTTGCAGTCAAAATTTTACTATTATAATTTAGAAGGAAGTTGATATTAATATTTTCAAATTGAATACAAAATTTTATCACAGAGTAAAAAGAAAAAAACAATTCAAGATTGTTCAATCGAACTGCTTTTGTATTTGAACAACAGTTCAATCAATTGAGTTAATCTAAGTCTTAAAACAAATGGGGAATTTATTTGCCCTGACAAAGCATTGTACCCTTGTTTAATATTTGTTTTTTAACCATCTAATATCTAATATTGCATGTAAGATATAAGTAATATGAGGCTTAAATAGAAAAATTTTTAATAATAATTTTTTATTCATAAAGATAAATAATAAGTATCCTATTACAATCTTCAAATTTTGAATGGTAATTATTTAATTTTTGATAAAAATTATTTACTTTTATATATGTTGGAATTGGATGACATTTATCATCATACCATGCTGCAATGAACTTTGGGACTTGACTTCTTTCCATTTATTTTCTTTTCATTTCTTTTCTATTTACCATCTGAACCCTAAATTAATTTTTGAATGGTTAGAAATTGGTATTTCATGAAATTATAATTAAAATTTGAAATTATGATAAACAAATTAATAAATTTAACATATAAAAACTTTAATATAAATTACAATTCAAAATTCAGGATTGTAACTAAAAAGATAAAAAAATTTAAATTTTATAAAATATTAAATCCTGATTATTAAAAAATTGGTCTAAATGTTGAGATGGTAAATGTAAATGGTGAGAAAATGAGGAGAAACCAATTCCACCATCGAAAAGCCATAAACAGGTTACTCCGATTCGGGGTCGGATTCGGAGTTAGGACATTCGAAAGTTTCGGATCCTAGGGTTTTCACTTTTCGGACACATTCCAACACCAACACACAACTGCATTTTCTTCTCCCATACAGAACCGGATTCGATCGGAGGAAGACGACGACCGCAGGTTGGAACAACTAAGATGGGGAAGCAACCGGTTAGGATGAAGGCCGTGGTCTATGCTCTTTCACCTTTCCAGCAGAAGGTTATGACTGGTCTCTGGAAGGATTTGCCTTCCAAAATTCACCACAAGGTCTCTGAGAATTGGATCAGCGCCACGCTCTTGCTCGCTCCTCTTATCGGCACCTACACGTATGTTTACTTCCTTATCGTTGGATAGTCCTTTTTGCTTATCCTTTCATGTGGTTTTTTAATTGGTTTGCACCTTCTTTTGTTGTTTTGATCTGGGAAACGATGAGTTTTTAATTCGATTTCCTTGTCTTATATTCTTAGAACCTTCAATTTTCTGTATGTTTTATGGGTTAGATGACTGGCTACACAATTGCTTTCAAGTACAGATTTTAGGCATAAGAGCTCGTTTATTGTTGTACCTTAGTTTTTGTAGCGTAAATCTTTGTCTCGCTCATCTCTATTATTAGCATGATGATATTCCTGCAGTAAGTAGGATGATGAAATTGTTATGAATGCCTGATTTTGATTCACAAGGATTTTTAGAACTTCTTTCATAAGATTCTTGCGCTAAGTAGGATTATCGAATATTGTTATAAATATCTGATTTTGATCCACAACTCACAATGTTAATATTAATGCTGAGGCCAAGGAGGAATAAGGGTCCATGTGATCAATTGATCAATAGAGGGAGAGAGAAACAGGTAAGGAGAGGGAAGATTTTAAAAATACTATCAGGCTCCAGAATTTAGTTACAGAGGAAGCTGGGGATAGTGTTGTCAGCATATGCAGTCTTACTCAGAAGATGCAATATATATTTTCCCCCTATGTTTCTCTTCTGTGTAATATACAGATTACTGTATATAAATTTCGTCTCTACAGTAAGAAGGGTGTGGTTAGTTTTGACAAGGAGGAATATCAGTGATATCAAATTGGCCAAACAGTTCAAGTTTCACTCATGATGTTATTATTATTATTATTATTATTATTATTTGGGTATTGTTTTACCATTATTTATATTTTATTGTGGAGTGTGAATGGCATTTAATACAATTTTAGCAGCAAAGACATTTTTTCGTTTCCTAAATTTTTTATCGAATGGCACTCTGTTTGGATCACAAAAATAAACACAGAAGATAATGAGAAAACTATTTGGGGAGCAAAATTACAAAGACCCAAAATTTAATGAAAATATTTTCAGTCAATAAAATTCATAGGAGTGATGCATTCAAGGATGTTATTCCAGTGCATTGTATTTATGTTACATTGCTGTCAAGTTGTCCCTGAAACCATTGGTGAAGCCAATGGCATTTTTTTTATGCTTTTGAAGTGTTAGAACTCTAGACTTCTATTTACACCCCACCCCACGTCCCCACCCCTCTAAGTTAACTACTAGTGGCTTCCAATGGCATTTCTTGCCTTCGTTTCTGCTCCAAGCGTGGTTGCTTCCTATAGCAGTATATCATTTCTAACCTTCATTTCTTCTCCAAACAGGCCTATGTTACTGTTAACTATGCCTTGGGGCAAGCATGTAGCTTGGTTATTCTGAGTAACAGTTTTATCTTCTGGTTGCCATTCTTGTATTCATTGGAAAGATTAAAAAAAAAAAAAAAATACATAGACAAATTTGATTGGAATTTTTACAGTAATCATTTCCATAGAGTAATGTCTCATTGTAGCTCTAAACGAGTTAGAGAAGCAAAAGAAGAGAAACAGGACTGATGTTAACTCGTTTGTTTTGCATCGCTGAGTTTAATTCATCTTCAATGGATATAGGTATGTTCAGAACTACCAGGAAAAGGAGAAGTTGGCTCACAGGTACTGAAGATCTGCAAGAGTATATTTGGATGATCTCTATACTTATCAGAAGATTTTTGCATTTTTGTTGTGTACCCTGCAAATAGCCTGAGACTGGTGAAACTCGATTTATATGGTTGAGATATTGTTCTACAAGTTTGGACTGTTACAACTTTTAGAAGCCTCAATGATTGTGATCTTCATGATGCTCATATGCCATCGCCATGGTTGAAGTTAACTTTATGATGCCTTTGATTCGTAATGTTTTTGTACACTGCGTGTAATGCAAATAATATCAAGATTTATCAGGAACATGTGGTGGGCTCTATACGCCAGATCGTGTGTATAAGGATTTTGGATCTCATAAATCGTTGCTTTGTCTCTTGTTGGGAAAGTAACTGGGTAAAATCTTTCAAGTTAATTTATGTGATATAATGAGAGAGAGATTGATTGAAGGGAGATCTATCTAGTTGGCCAAAAAAAGGGAGATCTATTTCAATATAACTCACGTAGCATAAATGGGTTTTCTCATTTTTTGAGCATGTTTAGTTTTGCATTGGAAATAATTAAAACTATGATTTTGGTGAAAGTAATTATTTGCTTCCACTAAAATTGACTTTATCTGGTCCACAATGTAACATATTGATAACAACCTCACGGTTTCCCAAAAAATAAAAAAGTTGGAACTTTATCGTGGGAGATACTTTACGATTTTGAGTGAAGCAAATAGAGTAAGGTATAGTTAAAATATATGGTATGAACTATCCAATGTATTTGCCAAAAAAACAAAAGAATTATCCAATGTTTATTGTTTGAGTTGAGTAGGGCTTCTAGAAAATGTCTATATTGTGGAGTGAAGTGGGTATATCATATTTGAAGTTTTAAGTAGGTTGGGTATAATAGCTAGATTTTTACAATATGGTAAATCAATATTGGAATTTCATTAAGAAAAGTATTTACAATTAATATTTGATTATGTTTCAAACATAATTGTTTTTCATAAGTGGACAACCGTGAGCAACAAAAAATTGGATTTCTTTTCAACATTTTTAAAATTTTCAGTCCTCGTGCTAAAAGTAGAGAACCTTTTACGGCATACTCACTCAAAAGTTTTTTTTTTTTTGTTTGAGACAAATATTCGAAAGAATGTAAATATACTATATTATATATTAAATCAAGAAGAAAATATTTAAAAAATACAAAGGTGGGGGAAATCCCATAAGTAATCTTGAACAAACAGGCTAAAAGTGTTTATGCCAATTAACCAGATTCTACTGAGGTTGTGTTACTCATGCCTCAAATAAAAATCTAACTATTATCAATTAATTACTTAGTTCATTTTAAAGAACAATTATACCTATACTGTAAATATTATATTGAAATTATAAATAAAGGAATAATGAAAAGATATCAATAAATATTACATTGAATTTTTGAACTTGAAAAAAACATATATTTTGAAATTAATAACATGGTATAAAATATTGGATTACATGTCCTGAAAAATTAAGACGCGTTATCTATAACATATCAATAATATGATTCATCAAAATTTTAAATTATATACATAGATATAATATATCAACAACAATTATTTTAAAAATCGTGAAACAATAATATCAATTTCAACATTACTCATTTAAATATAACGGCTCCTTCTTTAAATTTCATACAATATATTGAGAAATTGGTCTAATCCAGTGACGAATCTAGAAAAATTTAGTAATGGGGGCAATATTTATACCAAATATAAATATAAATATTTTTTAAAAATATAATTTTAAGTAATAATTAAAATAATATATAATAAATTATATAATAACATTGTAAATTTATTTTTATTATAAATAAAAGGGTAAATAATATTTTTAAATATGTATGCTTGATAGTTTTAAAGAAAATGTGGAGCACTTGATTTTTTATGGGGGCAATTGCAATTTTAAAGAGGCGATAAGTGTAATTGAAACAAAAAAGTAAGTAATTTTTGCAAATTTCATGGAGGCAATTGCCCCCCTTCCTCAACGTGGATACGTCCCTGGTCTAATCTAAATTTATATATGTAAAACATATTATTGTTGCTGTCAATCTAAAGTTGAATGAATAATAGCAATGATATTAAAAAAAACATTTTGTATGTTAAAATATCATGTATTGTTGTTGTTAAAATATCATGTGGGTCTCATAGTAAAAAAAAAAATGCAGGGTCCATGTTAAAAAAAAATAATAACACATATAAGATTCATAATAAAAATGATAGGTATGAGATATATTATTTGTTGTGTATAAAAAAAGATATATTATTTGTTACTTGTATTTTATATAGATATAAAATAATAAATGTTGGAAATTTATGCCCAGCATGCATGGCAATATTTTAGTTTAAAAAGATAAAAATAAAAATAAATATTAAAAAATAATTTAGTATAATTAAAGTAAAATATATTCTCTCCCCTCTATTTAACCTTAATTGCACTCTTTTTTATTTTTAAAACCCATACGAATCTCTCTTAAATTAATATATTCAAGAGTTACAAAATACAAATATACTTTTTATTTTCATTTACCTGGCCATTAATTGACAATTATACTTTGCTTGGATAGGAGGAAAGAAAATATAAGGAGAAAACAAGAGAGAAAATAACTTTTCTCATATTTAGATGAGGAAGAAAAAGTAAAAGAAATAAAAATGAGAGAGAAAATGGGATGTGAAATTCACTACATCTTCTCCTTAAATTTTCCCTTTAGAAATGAAAAAATTTTAAGAGTAAAATTTTTGTTCCACCACCTGCCCTCCTCTCTCCTTCTTATTTGTCATTTTGTATTCCGCCTAGATGTGTTCTTCTTTCTCGACCTAAGTGGCAGTAGTGACACTTTTATTATCAAGGGTCTCTCCACTTCTTTCTCTTTATTTTCCTCTATTTTCCCCCATCTCAACCGCACATATTATTTTATTAAATGAATTTTTAAAATTATAAAATTAATGAATGGTTGAGATGGGAGAAGTGGAGGGAAAATAGAGAAAAAGAAGTGGAGAGGTTCTTCTCCTTTCTCAACTCCATTGCTTTTCTTCTTCAACATTTTTCTATTCCATTTCATTGGTTGACCTCTTTTTTTCAATTTTTCTAATTTGTTTACTTCTATTTCATGGTGATAGTTGAACACCAAATTGGTGTGAATTTTGGCTTTATTCCCTTTTCTCCTTTTGCTGTTGAATTCTAGTTTTGATAAAATGAGTTTATTTAATTTTTTATTTTATATTATAATATATAACTTAATAAATCATTCACTTTTAATTTTTTAAAAAGAAATATAATATATTTTTTACTAAAGTATTTGGTTTTTAAATATAATAATGTAAAAATATATTTCTTATAAAATAATCTTATTATAAAATTAATTTTAAAACAATTTTTCCTTAAATTTATTTTTGTAAATAAAATTATATGAAATAGTGACAAATTTAATAATATTTGTTGGAGAATAAATTTCAGGACTTTTGTAGATATAACCCATATTATAAGACCATAACAAGCAAATAACCCAACTATTACATTTATATTATAACCAATTTATTATATTTGTCAATAATGTATTATTGTATATCAATGATAAATCTCTTATAATTTTTAATAATAAAACTTCTTGTATATTAATGTGAACCATCATTAGAGCCGGGAATAAGGGTCGGGCCTGAAGGGTCGGGCCTGAAAGCTCTGTTTAAATAAGGGTTCGGGGCTTTTAAAATAAATTTTTTTAAAGTAATCGGGCTTGAGGGCTTGGCCCTGATAAGCCCTGTAAAATAGGGCTCAGGCCCGGGCTGGCTTCAAACCCTGTTATATTATTTTTATTATTATTATTTTTAGTAAAACGCGTGTTTGAAATCAATGACCTGCTCACCTGATCCGACAACATGATATTATTATTAATTTTAATTTATTCTAAAATTAATTAAATAATTTAATAATATCAGTGTATAGTATAAAATTTTATAATATTTTTTATTTTTCTATAATATTATGTTGTGTATATTTATAAAAAAAATAAACTATTTTTTAAATGAAGATTTAAATTTTATTACTAGACTTCTAATGTATGTTATTTAATTTCTAAAAAAATTATGATGATTTTAATTTTTTTAATTTTAAAATATTTTAATTTATTTATAATGTTTAATTTTATTTTAATTTTTTTATTTTTTAAAAAAGGGCTTACGGGCCTGACTTTGAGCCCTGAGTATAAAGGCTGAGCTTGAACAATGAGGGTCAAAATGAGAAACCGGGCTTTTAGGGCTTAGACCCTAAAGGGCCGAGCCCATAAGGGCCATGACCCTAAAGGTCGGGCCCGCCTGTATTCCCAGCTCTACCAATCATATTTTTAAAATTTTAAAAATTTAGTTCATATTATTGGGCACATGATTTTTTTTGGCCAGTAGGCCAATTTATCCAATAATATTTTTCTTCTTCAATTAATAATATGATAGAACTTAACAGAAAATTTATTCTTTAATATAATTTCAAAGTTCCCCTCACATCAATTGAAGGAAGAGTACAAATGTAGGTTTTGCCTTCTTAAACCCATTATGGGAGCAACATATTTTAACATAAAAATAAATTATTATTTATATCTTTAATACATTTGGGTAAAACAAATCTTAAAATTGAATAAATTTTTATTTAAATTTAAATGTACATAAAGCACATATTGCAAGTACACAAAAATAAATCATTTTAAAATTTTCATTTTTTTTTTAATTTTATGCTTACTCTTCAAATGATAAAAGCTCCTTACAAGGACTCAAAAATATCTCAAGAAAGCTTTTACCTATGTATAAGTAAAAAAAAAAAAAAAATTTCTGTGCATCGCATGGGTCAAAATTTATTCTTTAACACCATAATTATTTTATATTGTAAAATACATCATTTTACTGAAAGAAACTTTCTTTTTTTATATTTTTTTTATGTTTTTTAGAGATTATTATGTGAGGCTGCACTAGTGTAAGGCTTATAGTGAAAAAATAATGGTAAATGTGAGACCCATGATAAAAATATTAGGTGTGAGATCCTATCATTTAGTGTTTATATATTTTATATGTATGAGATAATAATATAAGAAGTATTTGTCCCACCATAAATCAATAGTGGGGTGAATTATGTACATACATACATATATATTTATTTTAAGTCTCTAGATTTTGAAAGATCATGTGGCATTTACAATGAAAATAAGTGTAAGACTTGTAATGTAAAATTGACATGAATATGGGACTTATAGGAAAAATTATAGATGTTGGACCTATAATTTGTAGCTTGTATTTTTTATCAATTAATTAAATGGAGATTGGTAAAAAAAATTTAACTATATGGGGCAGAATTTAATAGTAAAATTATTTTTTGATTTAATTTCAAAATTTTTCTCATATTGATCAAAAGAAAAGCACAAAATAAAAGACTAGCATGTTCATCTCGAGAACAATACATTTAAAATAAAATAAGTTATTATTTATTTTTTAACATGCATATGCAAAATAAAATTTGAATAAGTTGTTATTTAAATTTAATTTAAATTCTAAGTAGATTCAAATAAATTATTTTTAATTTTATATTTCTATGATATTTTTAATTTTTAAATATTAAAATATCTTTTGCATCACACGGAAATAAATCTAGTTTAGCATATATTTCAACATTTACTTATTCATTTTTTTAGTTTCTTTTTTGGAGTCCTGTAGAGGGTAATTAAGTAACGGCAACGAGAAATTTGAAACTCCAATGGCGCCATTAGGGCCGAGGTCAAATTTGTAATTTTGGGATTGCCTTCGGACCAGACACTGGTTCACTACACTGGCTCAACAATACAGCTGCTCAATACAAACTCTTCAACGTGCCTGCTTCATCGTCTTCGTCTTCATCGGTAATCTTTCCCCACTTTCTCTCTCTTATCAGCATCCAGCTTTTTCTTTTTGTCTTTCCATCTTTTTCTTCAATAAATAGCACCTGACCTATTGTCAAAATTTTGGAGGATCCTTTACTAGATATATGGAGCATATTCAAGGGCATATCTTCACATTTACATATGACATGGGATAGAGTTCTGTGTTTCGCTTGAACATATAACCTATTCGGATTGGACAGTTTTTTTACGCGCACAATTCTTCTAGGGCTTTTGGTGCTCTGTTTTTGTTTTCAGCTGGTATTGTAACTCTGTTTTGATGATAGCTTCAAACAAGTTGTAAGAAAAAGTGCAGTTCGTCTATAGAAAAGAAGAAGAAAAAAAAAAAAAGACCAGTGATTCTAAAGGTGTAAGAAGGGGCAGATGTAATGAAAATCCTGCGCTGAAAAAAAGTAAAGGAAGCTGTATTTTCATCTTGTTTCCGCTTTATGTTCCCCATTTTTCAACTTTACTCCATTAAAGCTTTGAAGTTCGTTTCAAGTCCACTGTTTTATGGGGAGTTTTTTTTCCTGTGCCTTAACATTTGATTTTAAACTGTCATGTATTAGTAGTGTCCATACCGGAAAATTAACACCATTAGCAATCTAGCAGTAGTAGCAGATGGCAAAGGGTGGTGCCACCAATACATACGAAGAAGCTCGGAAGCAACGGCTTGCAGAAAACAAAAAACGATTTGAGGTAAATTATACACACAATGAAGCCATATACAATCAAGTGAGAACCAATCCATGCTGCCAGAGCCTTTTCCTAGGCAAACTTCCTAAACGTTATCCTATATTTTTTATTGCGGATTTTGAAATGAGTGGGTGTGCTAAATACACCCAGGTCATTCTTTGCTTCGCATCTAACATTTCAGGAGATGCCCAGTAGCAGTACAATGTCATCTTAAACACTATTTTGGGTATCCTTTGTTCAGTTCATTAGTCCATAACATGAGGGTGATTGTAAAGATGAGATGTGGACCCCACACAGAATTGCTTTCTTTTCTATCACTATATGATGCATGAATGTAGAGAATCCTCCAATATCTTATATATGATAGTGCCCAAGATGCATGTGAAATAACAATGGACAATGTAACAAGCACTCTCAGTGTGTGTCTGGCTGGCCTGTAAAAACCATTATGAAATTTTCAAGGAAACATTCTCTGAATCTTTTATTGTTGAGTGTCGTTTTATAGGTTGAGAGTTTTTGTCTAAACAACTTTGTATTAGACCTTGTATTCTTTTATTGATGGTTGAGAGTTGAGACAATTACGTTCCATTATAACCAGTATTATAATGGCATGCTGCCTTGCTTTTGTTAATGCTTCTTTAGTTAATTTACATAATCTTACTTTTGCTCTGAAGGATCTTGGGATTTCAAAGATTTCAAAAAATTTATCTGAACTTGTCACACCAGAGAAGAAGGCTCCTCCGGTAAAGTTATGTTTTCTTTAGTTATCCTCTGAATGATAACTAGCATTTGATTGATCTTTCTTTCTCTCCCTTCCCAGCAACGTCGACCAAAACAAAGGTCAAACAGTAATGATGTAGTGGAACCAAGACGCTCTTCTCGTGTGCGAAATGCTGTTCCTTCATATCGTGAGGATGTAGGCATCAATGTCAACTTTATAATTATAGAACTTACACACGTTGAATGAGTTATCAATTATTGCAGTCTGATATCTCCCAATTGAAAATTAGATTTGATTATGAATTTTTACTATGAGGTGGTAATGTCTTGCTCTCATGTTACTAACAAACCTTGGTTTCCTGTATTCTCCTCTAATGATAATTTTTGAGCAAAACTCTTATGTGGTCAACAGAAGGTGCTGTGAATGTCAATTTTGATACTCCCAAGATCTTCTACATCAATTTAGTATTGAAATATGATTTTGTTTCAATCTATGTAGTGTTGGATCCTCCACAGATTGTTAAAAAAAAAAAAAAATCAGTTTTGCTTACCAAAGCGACACAAAAAGTCTTGAGAACCAAAATTATATTTATGCTAAATCTTTCTGTAAACCATTTCATTTTATTTTTCTTCTAGGAAAAAAAAAAAGAAAAATAGACAAGGTTTTTGTTTTTAATAACCTTCATAGGTATTCATGGACCTGCCACCCTTGAGGAAGAGGTCGAGGTCATCTTCATCAGCATGGGGAAGGTGCGTGTTCTTTTTGAAAATGCTTCTCATTGTTACGTGTGAAATATTACTAACAAGGTTATGGAAATCTCAGTTATGTTGCAAGGCCACTAGAAGAAATCAAAGAAGCCACAGATGAAGAAAGAATTGTGCTTTAATGGCAGCAGAGACACTCCTAAGCGATTTACAGACTTCAAATCCAACATTTATTAAATCAATGGTCCGGTCTCATGTTTATAGCTGCTTTTGGTTGGTGAGTTACAATTAAGAGATTCAACTGGCTACATTTCATAAATTGCTTATTTTGACATCAATATTATCAAACCAGTCAATTCAACTAAACAATCAGTGAATTGATTCATAACCTCCACAGAAGTAATCATTTTGAGAATTGATCAAAAGTCCGCTAAAACTGATCAACAACTTGAAAAAATAGAAAAACCCGGACAGATTACTAGCTCAACTAGTTCTTTTTTTTTTTTTTAATTCGTTGAAAATAAATTTTTGGTGGTGAAAAGGGTGAAATTTTTTATCCTCTTCCTATGGTCTAATGTCTTGCTTGTTTGAGACCAAACATTGGTATACCAGGTCCAGGACAAAGAACAACCATTGGTTGGCTTGTTCTTCTGCTCTATCATTAAACACGAACCATCTGACAATTTTTTAGTTCAGATTGATAAACACACAAACACACACACACACACACACATCATGCTTACTGATATATTATTATCTTTATTATGTAAGGGTCTCCCAACTAGATTTTGTCAAGAACATCTTCCAAAGACCGCTTGTGACATGATTTTAGAGGATGAAAATGGCTCAGAATTTGACGCTGTCTTCCTTGGCAATAGAACCGGGATTAGCGGAGGCTGGAGAGGATTTGCACTGGATCATAAGTTGGATGATGGTGATGCACTTGTTTTTGAGTTAGTTGAACCTGCGAGATTTAAGGTATCCCAAGCCCATCCATTCTATTCTAGGATTAATATTCTTACTTTTTTATCATCCAAAAAAAAGAGAGAGAAGATAATTGTTAGAAATTAGCATGAACTTTCACTGATAGCTTTAGCGGTATAATTTTTTCAGCAGTTACGAAATATGGTCAACACCAGAATCAAAATTTATCTTCTTAAGATTAACCTAAATGTTTGTTGGGTGAGAATGTTTAATTGTTTATGCAACAATATTGGACTAATTGAACTTTGAACTAATAAAATAAAATAAAGGTTAAACAAAAAAACTGATGACTAAATATAAAACCTAGAAAAATTATTTGACAAATGCCTATAACTAGCTCTGAAGACTGAGTGCTATGCCTTATACTTATAGGGCCGTAGCAACAGACTTATTGTTTGGAAAATAATATAAAGACAAGGCCTAAATTATAATGAAAGAAAACAATCAACGGTAAGCTTGTGAGAATAGAGCATCGAAACCGAAAGCAAACAGAGATAAGAATGTTGCTGATAAAGCATACGAAATCAGGGAGATAAGAAAATATTTCACAATATCCAACACTCTCAAGCAGAGTCATGTATATCTATTGATCATTCTAAACTTAGACCTTAGTTCTTCAAAAAGAATTCTGAATCACCCTTAGTTCAAATACTTGTAACAAGGAAGTGCTTAGAGAACGTGAATGAGATCAAGAATTCTTGATTCGCCCTTTTCTGTAATAAAATGAAAATGAACCTCAATAGGTTTTGCCTGTCATGATCAATAGGATTCTAAGCTATGGTTAAAGCAGTCACATAATTATTCGGCAAAAAGTAGCCAAATGATCGTAACATGTCTTTACATTTTTACCACAGATTTATATTGTCAAAGCCTTTCCAGAATCAGCTGAAGATGGACAGGAGACTTTGGATGAAGAAGCTGATACTTGTGCAGCCAAGAAGCACAAATCACAATCAAACAGGACACAAATTCTTGAACATGCTGTGCATGAAACTAAAGAATCTGCAAGTTCTCAGGAAAATAATGTTGACAATGAAATCGAGCCACAAGAGCTAAACCCAGCTAGAAATACGAGATTTTCTCAGAGAAAATCTCAGAAAGAATCTAAAGATCGTAAGCTGCTTGTTTCTGGTGGTTCAATAAAGGAAGAAAATATTGAAGAAGGGAAAATTGTATGGAGAATGCAAAAGCAGCCATGAAACATAATTCTCAGGGAATCAAGACAAGGTCAAAACGGGGTACGCGAAAATGAACATGCTGGCAGTGAGTTGAGGAACTAGAAAGTAGAATCAGTTGAAGCAGGCAAAATGGCTTTACAAACCAAGTAAAAAACTTGCTTCTAATTTTTTCAGAACAGAAAGCATAGCCCTTGAGGATAATAGAATGTTCATTTTCATGGCTGTTACTGATATAATGATAGAGTGCCTTCTAAAATTTGTTCTGTTTTTCCTGCTTTTTAACTGCTTCCTTGTATTCTGTTTCTGCCTTTTCTCTTGGCAGTCTAGAAATTATTGGCTGCCTCATATGTGACAAATTTTTTCTTGTGCAAGTTTCTTCTTCCTTCGCAATGGACCTCAGACATGCAAACAAATTTAATGACATATCTACTTACTATTTAAAAAGTATCCACAAAAGTAGAAAAAATATATGTAATTTCAGAATATGATAACAGTTTTTCATGAAAAGTGAGGATTCAGAGGCCATGCTTAATTTCTGTCACTTGTTTTTTTTTTTTTTTTAACGAACAACCATAAAACACATCTGGAAAACTATTTCCATCATTGATGAAATTTTAATATGATTTACGTTTATCATGAAAAATGTGCTGCAGAGGCTAATATTATTTTTGTCCATGCATTTTCATAATGAGGATAATTTTTTATGAAAAAAATGTTATTCCAAGGATGATCATCTTCGAGGGATGAAAAACTTTTCGACCATCATCACAATCTTTCATGAAAAGTGAGGGTCCAGGCTAATGTCTTTTTTTTTAATCACTTGTTTTCATGAAAACAAAAAACGCATCCGAAAAACTATTTTTATCATTTACAGAATTTCAAGATATGATGTCATATTTACATGAAAATAAGCTGTCATCTATTACATGCAACTAGGTGCAACATATCTCTAAGACAACAACATATGCAATCAATATTCAAATGTTTGCACATGCAATGAATTTCAATGGTAACCTTTAGATAACAAGTAAGCGAGTTTTAAGCTCGAAAATAAAAGGAAGGATCCTTTTAAGCTCTAATACATTTTTAAAAAAATAATATAAAAATATATATAAAAAAAGAAGACACCACATCATTTAAGCTAGGTACTCACTCTCTAATCTAGACAATAGACATGCACATTATTATTTGCTTACTTTGAATATTTTTGCATTCTTTAAATAACTTGAAATTATGATTTTGGTTTATTATTTATTACAAATAATAAGGATGAAAAAGAAAGATATGAAAAGCTTAACATATTTGCCATTGATGAGGATTCACAAGAAGAATGATCAAATCATATTGATGTTGATGATGATAAAAATTATCAAGATTTAGCTAATGATGCTACCAACGTGCAATTGATGTCGAAGTTGATTTTAGGATGTTATTTTTTTATTAGACTTAATTTTTGTTGTGTGAATTGATTTTATTTTATTTTCTTAGACTTAATGTAATGTATAATAACTTTGTTAAAATTTTAAATATGTTTTTTTTAAATTTTTAAATTGAAAAATTTAAAAAAATAAATAGGGTCGAGACCCTGAGGGCTGACCTTCAGCCCTGAGGGTTAGGGCTGGGTTGTTACAAATAAAACCTTGAGATGTAATCGGGTTTAAAAGGGCTAGCCCTGGCCCTTGAAGGGCCGAGTTGCTAAAAATAAAGCCCTGTGTGTGTGTGTTCTTGAAGGGTCGGGCTGTTAAAAATAAAGCCTTGTGCTAAAAATAAAGTCCTATATGTCTGTAGTCTATTTACTTAAGTAGACTTGATCAAAAGTCTAATGCAGTCTATTTACTTAAATAGACTTGATCAAAAGTCTAACCCTAATCTAATCTATTTACTAAAAGAGTCATATCAAGCTTGATGTAAACTAAGCTGCAGGTACTTTCACTCTTGCACATAAAATCGTTCAAGGCGCATTAAATATGTCTAAACTAAATAGGTGGTTTCCATGCATTGCTTAAAAGTGATTAGAAGTTGCAGCTTTCATAACTCTTTCTAGACAATGCAACTTTCACTTGGACATACATACATATAAGTATGCATATGATTGGGTCTCCCATTATAATATCCCATGAATTTCAGGAGAAAATGATAATAAAGTTTTTGATAAAGTATTTTAAGTATATATTTTTATATATTTTAGAGTAGGTTCAACAAAAAAGGATGAGTGGTCTGGTAAAAACTTTGTTAGTAGTTTCTCATACGATTTTTTTACTTTTACTAAGAGGAGCATTTTTACTTTTGTTACAACCTCTGGAAAATTATCTTTGATGCCTTCAAAGAAAAGAAAGACCATGGGCCTGTTTGTTTTGGCTTTTTTTTTTTGGGCAAAAGAATCTTTTTTTTAAAGAAAAAGTCACTTTAAATTATATTTAAAGCATTTGTTTAAAATTTTTAAAAAAATCAAAATCTAAAAAAATATCAGATATCTAATCATTTTGAAAAGCTAATTTGAGTAGCTTTCTAAAATAAGTTATGCAATGGATGTGAAAGAAAATAAAAAAAAAAAAAGTACGGCGGATCTCACGGTAAAATTAAAGAGCACAAAAGTAGTCCTTCTCCTTAAGATCTTCGTCCTCAGCGTCTAGCGGCCGTCATTCACCTCCTCCTTTGCTTGAATCATATCAGCCTCATCTTCCAACTCTGGTAATGGTTCGATTTATTATTAAGCTACCGACTCTGTCAAAATTATTCCATGTGAAATACACTTACAGCATCCCTGAGTTGTTTTCCGTGATCATCAGCATCTCCCTGGAAATTATAGCGAGGTAGGTGGTACCGCAAAACAGAAGAGATGCTTGTACAGTACTCTTACTCTTCCTAGAAGTGTTTTCTAAATTTTTTTTATTCTTAAATATAAGGAATAGTAATAAATTTTTTTAATAATTAAATAATTTTATTTTTATCTTAAAAAATAAAATAAATTATTAATTGTATGTTTTTCCTACCATCATCGTAACATTAACAATGATATTATTAAGGGTAAAATTAAAAAATTATTATATTTTTATATGAATTTAATTAAATAACAAATAATATATAAAATTTAATTAAAAATATTATATATATATAAGGACGAAAAGAGTAGCTTGAATTTGACTAGCTATAGCTTGAATTGCGTGTACGTCTGGATGAGCCTGACTAATGAATGTGGGGTCCTCTTTTTATCTCCTTTTTCCCATATGTGGGTGGATGTGGGGTTCCTTGCAAAGTGACGTATTTTTTTTTTTTTTGGCCATGGCAAAGTTTTATTTTCAAAGCAGCGTAAATAAGTATGTCCAAGAAGGTGAGAAAATTCCTTTGATCGATATCTCTGAGCTATGGGTTCACCCTTGATCCCCTTTTGAACTAAAGGATGTTCTATTAATTTGATCCTGCTTGATATTTCTTTGCCGACTTATATTTATATTGATATTGTAAACATGTTTAATTTTTTTCATCTATCTTTTTACTTTTTATCCCTACTAAATTTAATTGATGTGTGATTATATTCTTTTAAATATTAAAATGGCACCTAAAAAAAATATTAGAGGTTCCATAAGAGATGGAAGAGATGAGGCAAAATGAGATGATAAGAAAACTGAAATATTTTAAAAAATATGCATCGAAGATATACTTGTAAGTATAGACCAAATACACATTTTAATAAAAATGGATGAAAGAACCTTATTGATTCACTTTATGAGAGAACAAGATGTGTTTATGATCACACACAATTAAAAAATAGATGGGATGCTTTAAAAAAAGACTTTAGATCATTTACAAGGTTGGTTAGAAAGAAACTAGTTTTGAATGGGATCATGAAAAACAGATTATACAAGCTTTTGAAGAATGGTAGGCTAATAAGAGTAAGGTATAATTGTGTTTTGATTCAATATATAATTTTTTTACATACAAGATTTATTTATTTATTTATTTTAAATTTTATTATAAGAGGATCTGGAGATTTTGAAATGGAAGAATGGGGGATCTAAATTCTTAAATTTGCAAGATAAGTGTTTTGAAGGTACAGTGGTTACATGATTAGCTCTTTTAATTCCATATCAAAATCCCTTGTCATATGAAGAAACTAATATTCATAATGAGGATGATCATGATGAGGATGTTGAACATGATGAACAAAATTTGGCTAGTGAGAATGATGCAGATAGTTGTGAAGCTGGTCAAGAAGTTCAAGCAAATGCAATTCCAAATCCTTCGAACAAAAAGAGAAAGAGGATGAGCAAAGAAGAAAAAAAATTGAAGTAGATGAGAAACTTCAAAATTCTCTGGATCATATTCTTGATAGAATGGATCAAGTGTCAAATGCTACTATTAGAGGATCAAAACCAAATGATCCTTTTAGTTATGATAAGTGTTTATCGATGTTAAATGAGGTTCCAAACTTGGTAAAAGGAATAAATCAATATTTTGTTGTTGTGATAATTCTAGCCAATGAAGAAAATAGGATAGCATTTTGTCATTATGCACAATGATCGGGAGATGACCATCAATTGGCTGAAAACTTACACACACGAATAAATCAATATTTTGTTGTTGTGATAATTCTAGCCAATGAAGAAAATAGGATAGCATTTTGTCATTATGCACAATGATCGGGAGATGACCATCAATTGGCTGAAAACTTACACACATGAAGACATCCTGCATATCCGTTGATTGGACCTATTTTATATGTCATTTTTCGTATGCGTTGAATTCATAATATTGCACATGTTTTTATATTTTATTTGATTCATTTGATTTATAGAACATTTGGTGATATTTTTTCAAAATTATATATATATATATATATATATATTTGTTCAATTTATATTGACTACATTTATATTTCTAGGATGATTGATAATTCAAATGCAAGTGATGATGATTTTATAATGAAAATTGAAGTCCGAAATATTTACAAACAAAGACTTTAAAGTGCAACGAATTTGGTTCCCTTTTTGGTTACAAATCATGTATTGAAGTATGTTGTGAAATAAAAGAAAACTACTTTAATTCTTCCTGGTCGTAGGTGATAAGTAAAGTTGATAAGCGAAAATGATAATAGGTTTTTTTGAGCAATTTCAAATGAGAAAACATGTGTTTCAATAATTGATTTGGAAGTTAACCAATAATTATGGACTACCACCTATCAAACACATTGGAGTGGATGAAAATATTGCTTTATTCTTGTATATTATAGGTCAAGAAGCCACATATAGACAAGTTCAAGAATGATTTCAACACTCTAGCCAAACCATTCTTGTAATGACCCCAACAAAAATTTAAACTAAATAAATAAATATATATAGGATAACTTACTTAAAGTGTGTTTATATTAATTTTTGGGATAAATATAACAAGTTAGAGACTTGGTCTAGTGGCAGCTGAGCAACCTTTCATATATAAAGTCCCAAGTTCGAATCTGGAAGAGACCAAAAGCAGAGTTAAAATTTTCTTTTTTGCTGGCCGTGCGAAATTACCAAACTGCCCTTAGCTTCATCTGATATTTTTAACTCTTCCTTCTTCTTTCTCGGTCATTCCAGAGCAGAAGCTCCGCGAGAGAGAGAGAGAGAGTTTCATCGTTCCTTTTCCCTCTGTGTTCGTTGGCCGGTGACTGTGGGTGCGTCTCTCGCCTTGTCGCTGGAGATCGAAAAAAAAGAAGAAAGAGAGAGATCTGAGATTGGACGAATCTTGCTTAGCCTTTCGTGGTCACTGCTTTCTTCCCTTCCATCGTAGCTGGAGCTGCGTTCGCATAGCTCATCGTCGCTGGTGTGCTCGTGGCTGGTCCTTCCATTTCGGTTAGGATTTTCCCTGTTTCTACGTCATTCTCCCTTGTACGAGCTCAGCGTTCCACCATGTTAAGTCATCGAAATGGGTGCTGCTGGTTTAGGCTGAGGCGACGCTGACTCTGGTTTTCTTTTCTTCCGAACGGTGCTGCGTCTCCCTCTGTTTCTTGCATCAGCTGGAGAGTTCCGTTTTTCTCCCCTGTTTTGCTGTAGATTCTATCTTCTTTGCTGCCTCTGCCATTACTGGTGTTTAAGGTAAGAAATTTAAGGACTTTTCTTGCTGAATTTATGCGAGAGGGAGAGTTCTGTTTGAGGACTAAAATTATAAAAAATTTGGTGGGTGTTCTGTTGTTGCCTTGATCGAAAAATGTATATATATATATATATATATATCTGGACTGAAATCGAAAGAGACAAACTTGGATATATGATTGGTACCTATAAGATGTCATTGAAGGGCTTATATGAGGAGATAAAAAAAAAATTTGACCTCTAATTGTTGATGGGAATTATTGGTTTAGAAATTCTCTTGTAGCTTTGTAAAGGAATTTAATTATGGGCTTGCACACAATCATGTGTATATTTAGAGTTTGTTTGATTTTTGGTGAATGGTTAAAGGCTTAGGATTGAGGAGGTAGAAGTAATGCACTTAAGGTAAATGATACAAAGATTGGGAGAAAACTCCTACTCCATAGAAATATTATGGCATGGTTAAAGTTTTATGAAGAAAGTAAGAGAAATTAATGATAATGCTTGAATTAACTTTAAATTATAAATTTGGGTTTTGAGATTTTAATGGTGGTTAGTGAAGGTTGTGTTATAAATTAAAATTTTATATATTTATATTTTATATTTTATAGGGTGTGTGGAAGAACAAGACCCTGAAAAGACTTAAAAGAAGAATACTTTCGGGAGTTAGAACTTCAACAGGTAAGTGAATAGCATTCCTTATAATTATTTATTAAAAACCTTTTTATTGAAATATTTCATTTTTATTAATTATGTTAGTTTTAGAAATTTTGAAACAACGATGAAAGACAGTTACAGTATAATTTGTGCATTTTCTCAAGAAATATATTTCTAATATTGATGAAAGCACATTTGCTTATTGAATTTTGAAAATTTCTTGGTTACATGATTAGTACAAGTTTGTACATTCATTATGATGTATCGATTTGGCAAGTTTCATATATTTGAAGTAATTCATGCGAGTTTGATCTTGATAATGAAAGTTTGAACTCAAAAATGATTATTTCCCTCGCATGTTTGAACGGGATTTCTAAGAGAACTCGAAACAGAACACTGCTGCTAACGGCAGTTTCGTTAGCCCGTAGCGCGCTGTGGTTAAATACTAGCTAGTTTGTTCGTGAGTTTTATTTTCACGTTTGGTATTCGTGGGCTTCGTACCCGCGTTTGATTTCGTGGCCTGAGCCGCGTTTGGTTACTTACCCTCGTGGGCTGTGTGTCCACGTTTGTTTCGTAGTTTCGGCTGCGTTTGGTTACTTACCCTCGTGGATTGATGTGTCCACGTTTGTTTTCGTGGCATAAGCCGCGTTTAGTTATTTACCCTCGTGAACTGTGTGTTCACGTTTGTAACTTGTTCTGCTGAGTTCTCAGAAATTTGAATGTTAATTAATATGCATTTTCAAAATTTACCTGATTTTGATAAATAATTGGTGTTGTTTTGAGTTTTATGAGAGCAGATTAACTTCTTTTAGCACGATAACATAAATTGTTTTCACTTCATTCTTATTTTACAAAAATGATTATGACTTACATGCTTATAAATTTTGGTGAAATTACTTTCAATTTCTTGACACCATTAATAGAGATTGTCAAGTTAAATTTTAAAATTTTATCATGGGAATGCTATTCACTGGAAAAAATTTATTTGGCCTCAGATTGGTTAGCTGACGCCGATTCCACCAACGACCTCAAAAAGGGGCAACTAGCTACAGTGGGTGGATCCTTTTGATTGGTATTACCACTTTAATGTAAATATATGAATTGCATGTCTTTTTGAATCGAAAGAAAGAGTAGATGCTTCACATAGGTTGTTGATGAATCTTATTTTTGCCTGTACATTGGTTGCTGACTGGAAGGAGCTATGCTCTTGACTTATACTGTTAGTTGTAAAAATTTTTGTTGTAGAATTTTCGGGAGATCCTAGTTACAGGGGAGGTTCTGTCGAAATTTCTGCAAATATGTCAACATTTAAAAAAAATGAAAAAAATGAATGACATGAAATCAATGTTCATTTGGAGGCTTACGGGAATGTGAGAATGGTTCGTACCCGTGCCGGTCACCCTTTATTTTGGGGCGTGACAATTCTGAACCATTTCAAACAAGTTTTAATGACTGTATACTAGCTAGGCAATCATGCAATTAAGCCCATTGATTTAATGCACGTGACTACTTCTCAACATATAAAAGATGATGATCGATATTGGCCTTATTTCAAAGATTGCATAAGGGCAATAGATGGCACTCATATTGGCATACATGTCTTAACAAATACCTTTTTGTAATAGGAAAGGATATACAAGCACAAATGTGATGGATATATGTGATCTTAATATGTGCTTTACATTTGCATTGTGTGGTTGGGAAGGATCTGTTCATGATGCACAAGTTTTTATGGACACCTTTTGAAAACCACATTTACGATTCTCTTATCCTCCTAAAGGTTAGTACTATATAACTTGAGATATTTAAGTGATTTATAAATATTTATGTAATATTGTTTAATATATTTTCTATTTATATATAGGTAAATATTATCTCATTGACTCAAGATATTTATCATTTGAAAGTTTTCTAGGACCGTATAGGAATACAAGGTGTCATTTTGCACATTTTAGGATGGCTCATAGCTTCATATCAAGAGATGAAATATTTAATTTTTATCATTCTAGTTTGGAAAGTGTTATTGAAAGAACTTTTAGTGTTTGTAAAGCAAGGTGGAGAATATGGCAAAATATGATTAATTTCAAGCTTGTTATTCAAATTTCTATCATATGGGCATGCTTTGCTCTCCATAACTATGTTAGAAGGATGGATCTAGATGACGTAGATATTCTTCGATATTTTTTAGAATCTAAATGAGTTATAAGATAGAGAACGATATTTTAATGATGGGGTTGGTAATGATGTACTTGACCATGATGAATGGGGAGATCCCACACAAGTACATGTCAAATATGTAGAAGAAATAAGAAATGGTATTGAAAACTAGTTGCCAAGATGAATGCATCACTATATATATATTTTTTATTTTTTAACGTTTGTAAAAACTTTGTCATTTATTTTGATGGATTGGAGGTTGGAATGATTTATTTTAAATAATATTACTGAAATAACTACAATTTTATTCAAAATTTTTTTATACAAATTCAAAGAACTTTTTAATCTAAACATGTTTTTTAAAACAGTGCTTTTACATGTCTATTATTATAATTTAATAAAAAAGCACTTTCATACTGTTTTATCTAAACAAGTTAAAAATTATTTTTTAAATCAAAAATGATTTTTTTATGATAGTTAACAATGGCAATTAATTTTTTATTTTTTAAATTTTTTATAAAATAAATTGTTTTTTATAAAATTTTTAAATTATTTAAAAATTATTTATTTATTTTAATCTTAAACAAACAAGCTCATATTATACTCTTTCGTTTTAAAATGTAAGGTATTTTTTAAAAAATTAGATGTTAAAAAATGTAAGACATTTTTAATCTTTTGAGGTATAATTATTATTATTTTTAAAAGTATTTCTATTGATAGTGATTTTATATTTATTATAAGATGTTTAATAGAGACAGATATAAAATATAAAATTAATTTAAAAATAAGTAATTATTTTATTAAAAGTAAAATTTAATTAAAAAATATTTTATATTTTTTTCATAGAGTATATTTTTCCATTCCCTTCATTTTTTCATGTGATCGGAGACCAGCAAGAGGGGGATATCAACCGAAACCCTTGGTCGTCCAATCCTCCTCCATTGCTTTGCAGTCTTCCTCCACCGTCGTGTCCGTTGCCGATGAGCATGGGTACGCCGGAGTCTTCCTCTTCTTCTTAGTTCCATGTTGCAGCTTGAAGGAAGGAGGGAGAGAGCTCGACTTCTTCCTTTCTTCCTCCCCCTTCGTCCGTTTTGTTAGCCACCGGTGATTATGGTGTGGCTATCGTCGCTTATAGAGGCAAAGCTCGTGATTTTTCCTTCCTTACCCCTGCTTCACGCTGTCAGCCGTGGCCAGTGTTGTCTTCCGTTTTGTTCTGCGTTGATGATGTTCTGTGTTGGGGGCTTCGAATCCTTCCATCATCCATTACCTCTTGGTGAGTCCAAGCTTCGTCATCTCTCCCTTGCGTTTTTTGTGTGAGTTTTGTGACCTGGATAATTGCTTTGTTGATGCTTGAGAAAAATAGATGCCGATTTGAAATTTTCTTGGGCTTAAATTGTTTCTTGAATGGGACTTGCTTTGTGTACCATCCCGAAATTTTAATATTCAAATTTATAAAATAAAATAAAATATTTATAATTAAATTAAAATTTAAAATAATTTAATAAAGGTTCAGAGTTTGAATTTTACTAAGCTTTTATTTGATTTTTAACTATGAGAAAAATTACCAAAGTTGACTCAGGATTTTGTGCAATAATTAAAAAAAGTTGGGCCATTTCTTGTAATTTTCTCCAAACTTTTAGATTAGCAATTTAAAGATCAAAACTGACGCAGAAAACATAGAAGCTGAATTGGAAAGGAAAGGAAAAAAACGCACGAGAGGGAGAGAGGAAGAAGAGAAGAGAAAGGGAGGGAGTTAGGCTTGGATCTAGGAGTTTTTGCGACCGTTGTGAGCTTGGTTATACGATAGGTAAACTCCTTACTTCAATCTTCTTTCTTTCTCTTGATTTTCTTCAATTTATGGAAGAGACAATTTTTAGATTTTGATCCCAAAGGCTTTATTCTTGTAAGCTTTTGTTTTTTTTGGATCCTAGGGAGGATGTTTTGAGTTTCTATATAGTGATCTAATGTTTTGAGTGGATAATTGGATGAAAAGAGGTGTTTTGGGCACAAATTAAACCCTGAGAGATTGGGTTTTGCTCCTCAATAGTTTAAGCCTATTAATTTAGTTATAATTTTGCTATTTGAGCCCAATAAGATTTAAATTGATGTTTGATTTTCATTATAAGGGCTAATGGTGAAAGTTGGTGACACTAAGTGAAGGTTTTTAATTAATTAAAAATTATATAAATTGAAAATTAGCCTAGTGATGGCTAATAAATGGTTTAATGGTTAAGCGATACTATGTGAATAGTTGGTTTAATATATGGACCATTGGGATGGATTATAGCTCATAGACTTAAGTTGTGTGGTATGAGTTATAGTCTTTATTAATGCTATTTGATATGATAAGTGATGTGGATCACTTATATGTTGTAGAAATTGTTGGTGAAATTTGTTTAGAAGTTAAGGAACAAGCTGAGTCCTATTTTGTATAAGAGGAACCCTTTTGGTACCAAAGGATTGAGGTAACAGAAAAAATTTATATTTCTTATTATTCTGTTTTAGCTATTTTTGAATAAATATTACTAGCTATCATGCATTACATGTTTTAAAAGATTAAATGGGCTTTATAAGGGGTTATGGGGTACTAATTTGATTATAGTGCAAATATATTTTTTAATTGTTTAACAACAATATTTTTATGAAAACGAGATTTGTTTACATGTATTTTAATTATAAGGAATAGAAATTGCACTTAAGAAAGTGTAACTAAGTAAGATACCTTAGATAGGCTAAGGAACCGTTTAAGGGAGATTTATAAATGTTATACTACCTTAGAGTGTTGAAGTGGTCAATACTCAGGAAAAGTAGACACGAATAAAAGGCATGATCTCGGTGAGAGTTCACCAATGATAAGGTGTGTACTTTTGATATTCTATGGCACACTGCCAGTACTCAGTGTTACCTTGCGTATTATGGGCTCAGTGCACTAAAGTGGTTAGTGTATTGAGTGTTCGACACCTCTCAATGGGGGAGGGAATCCAACATATGAAGTGTGAGGTTGAATGCCTAGGCCAAGATAACCCTCACATGGAGAGTAAGTCGGGCTGGCTTTAGGAGGGAGTTAGCTTTGACTGCTCAGGATTCACGTCGAAGGGGTATAGGCGGTTCGGTGGATTAAATCATGCCTTAGATTATGTTTTGTGCCTGTGGAGGTACAAGTAGGTATAATGTTTACTTGCGAGTTAAAGAGTGCCAAGGGCATTCTGTTAGTCATGAAAGGTCATACCGGCCTATGTCATGCATTCATTTATTTTAAATGGCTAAATTATATACTATGTTGAATTTATTATTCGTTTATTTGATTATGGCTTACTTTGTAATAATCAATGTAGATTTTTCTGTTACTGAGACGGTGGTTGTCTCACCCTTTCTTTTCAATATTCTAGGTCCAGGTGAAGGATCCAGTGGTGGACCGGGAAAGGAGCAAAGCTAGGGGTTTGCTTGTGATTTGTAAAGAACTGCAACCCCTTTCTTTTAAGCAAATATATTGTAATGTATTTAGGATTAGGGTGCCAGTAGGATATGATTATGTATATGTGTGTGAATATGTGTGGATTGTGTGCTTGTGTATGAATTTTTTATCTGTTTGTAGACTTGTGGCTAGGAAACTTGGTTATGGTGTGTGGTTTTGATGGATTTACTTAGTAGACCAAGTTTCTATTATAAGCAGATATTTATTTTGATATATATATATATATATATATATGTGATTCTATAAGCAAATGCAAAGTGGTTGCATTGCAAATGGTGTGCTATGGGCAAGCATACACCTTCGATAGAGAGAGTGGGTGCGTGGGCCCCACAAGGAGCTTTGAGTCAAGTGAAAATGTTTAGCATATGTATTTATATAAATACATGGTATTTGAATTGATTTGTGACCACTCTTGTATGATTGTGCATTTTGAGGGTTTAGGGTCCATTTTGGGAAATGGCACCCGGGTGGTCAAATTTTGATGTATGGGGGTTTTCCATCATTTAAATGTTTTTATCAGGTGTTTTTAGTCTTATTTGACGTGTCCAAAGTGTTTCCATAGGTTTGTGACCATTAGGATGAGATTTGAAAAATTTTGAAAATGGTTTTTACCAAAAAGCTACACTTTTGCATTCGGGTGTCCAAATCTTAATCCGACCATTGGATTTCTCTAAAATTTAGGTCAATTCTGTCATGACAGCTACAGTAGTGATATTGTAACTTGCACAAAATTAATTCGTCCATTGAATCTTTTCAAAATTTGGTATGTTAATAGTATTCTTAAAAGTGACATGTGGGCTTTGGAATCACTTCGATCGGAGGTCGGATGATGAAATGGTGCACTCCAAAAGTTGGTCCAGAAGTGGCTGTCATGACAGCAAAAGTGACCAAATTTATAATATATCCAATTTTTAATCCGACCGTTGGATCTTTTTGAAATTTAGTACACTTATAGTACCTTTTGAATGTGACGTGTGAGCTTTAAAACTTCTTCGATCGAAGATCGGAAGACAGAATAGTGCCTCTCTGAAGTTGACTCGGGAGGGCTGCTGTCATGACAGCATATTTTTACCCTTCTTTCGTCTAACTTGCTTCCGTGCGCTATAGGTAGAACCTATAAAATTTTTTAAAGGCTTTAAATGTTTAATTTGCATTTGTGTATTTGCTCAGTAATTTAAATGGTTTGTTTTCTAAGTTGGTTTTAGGATTAATTCCTTAACCACACTTAATTTATTTGAATTGTGTGAGTTTTGGATAACACTCGAGATAAGTGTTACACTTTATATAGCATGATAATTTTAAATATTGATGTTTGGAGATTATTGAGCAAGAGATTTAAAGCTTGAGAACTTTTATTGAATGGGTCGGTAATTAATGCATATAAGGTATTTGTTAAAATGTGTAGAAGAGAAATTTGATTGGAATGGAGCAATCAAGTATATTAGTTGTATTAAAGAAAAAAATCATTATTTAATTCATTCCATCCCTATGTTGAGACTCAAAAAGATATAGGTATTACTTGAATATGCATATAAATTTATGTGCGTGTATAATGTGTGGTGGAAAGCTTTGGTTACTAACAAGAATGTTTTATGCCTGATGGATTGTTATTTGTTATATATACACATTATTACTGATTACATAGGAGTTAATTATTTTCTATAATGGAAATCGGAAATAAAATTAGAGAATTTTGGAGAAGATATTGAATTGATAATTATGTTATGCATTACAGCTGTGACACTTGATTTCGTGAATCTAATGCCTGAATGGTTGGATTAATTAGTATTTATCTTCATGAAGAATGACTCTTCCCGCATGTGAGATCTCAAATTAGATGGCCCACATACTTTTGGCTTGATTTGTTAAAGGTGGTAGCAAAATAATCTTTTGAAAGTGGGCCTGCCAAATACGAAGAGAATGACCAACACGAGAAGAAATTTGATTTTTAAGGGTTATGATTATCAATAATATCTTATGTGTTCTATGCTATTTTTCTTACATATGGTTGATTTAGTTTTCTTATTTGAATGTTAGCGTTTGAGTCGCTAGAAATCTATAAGTGTTTCATAGTTTAGTGGAGAAACACTAGATACCATGTTGATAGTTATTTGTCTTAGCTCGAACTCAAATTTAAAGCTTTTAAGATTGTTAATTATTAATTTGGTTGAACTATTCTTGTAGTCCTCAATTTCACTTGATTTTGATTTTGGTCTCATTTAAAGTTTGTAATTTAGTTTCTGTGATGTTAGGAAAATCTTGATTTTATTTTAAATCGAGTAATAATTAAACACGTATTATTAAATTTATCAGAATAGCGTAGTAGAAGCATGGGGAAGCGCTATTAAACTCTATGGGTTCTAATAGCAGGAGAATGTTGTTATGTTGTTTTTAGTTGCCAGGCATGCATATGTTCATTTTCTTGCATTCTATAAGGAATCCTAATGAAATATTTAAGAAAAAGAACTACATAAAATTAAGTATTATTTAATCTCCTTATTGATTTATAAGTGTTGGATGTGTTACTAAAGCTTCACTAAACTCTCAGTAAGAGTCGTGTCATTCATATTTGGTTAGGTATTCATTCTCTTGAATTTCTTTCGTTCAACTAGGTGTTGAATAAACCGAGAATATCAAAAGATGTTGTAATATGATTATGTTATTTTCAAGTTGTTGATTTGCTCTTTAGCAGAAAAATAATCATCTCTTGGCTCTTAGCATGTTTAAATCTTAACTCACATTGTGGTATGGTGTGAAATTCCGATCTATTTAGAAGTTTATTGTACAATTATTTTTGAATTGGATGCAATGCTTGCTATATACATCCGTCTTGGACTGAGCTTGACAAAGTGAGTATTGAAATTTGTTAGTGAAACATTTATGCATAAACAGGATTTTTTCAGTCTTAATCTGAAATATAACTATAAATTGTGTTCAGTTATATTATTGTTTTATGAGTTTTGAACTATGTTGACATATATTTATTTCTAAAATCATGATCTTCATTGTTTAAAATGACCTTATCATACTAAAAGAGCCATTTAGCCAGTATTTGAATACAGGTGTGAACATGAGATTTAGCAGAGTATTTGATAAATACTTGAAATGTATTTTCTTAACAACGGGAGTCTTTTTATTTCTAAAAGGAATTTTCACAATCATATAAGAGTTTATAGAAGAAACTTTGGAAAAGTGGCTTATGGTTATGGTTTGGACCCTTTTTCAATAAAATTTTTCATATATTGAAGAATTGATTTCTAATATACTTGGAAATATTTATGGAGGAATCAAACACAGCATGCTTGTGTTTCGTGAGTCTTGTGTTCATGCATGTTGTTCATAGCCTTCGAGCTACCCTTGTTATTCATGGCTTTCGAGCTACTCCTATTATCTGTGGCCTTTGAATTGCATTGAATTTATTACTTACTCTCGTAAATTATATTTATGCATGTTTCTCATGGTCTACGAACCACATGGGCTGTGTGCCCATGACATCTCCAAAGGAACTTGTTTTTTTAGAAAGATATTTTATTTTTCTTCTCAATTTTTTATTTTTGAAAAGAAATTCTTGTTTTTTTAAATTCTAAATAAGTTAATTCCAGGATTTCTGCTTCAACGTTTATTTTGCTACTATGATGGGTTCAAAAATGTTTCCTACATTTGTTGATAACATTATTTCAGCATTCTACATTATGAGGATTGTAATAGATTATTAGTAAACATTTATCCATGTCCATGTATTTGAAGTGCTTAAGATAACTTGTGTGTGTATATATATGTACATGTATGCATATTGTAATTATTTCAGTAAAAGGGTCTTATTAAGAAACATTATTTTTTGTATGCCTAATGTTACAATCCTTCAATCCCTTCATTTGCATTATAAAAAGACCCTCGTTTGATAGTTATATTTTATATTATGATAAATTTAAATTATTCTCTCGTAGTCAATTTATTATATTATTTGTGGATTCGAGGAAGTAATTCTTGTAATCTATTTAAATTGATTGTTTAATTGTTTTGAAAATTTTCATTTAAAGATTTACCAAAAATCTTTACATAAAGTTATAAGTATTACAACATCATTTGATTTTATATCATATCAAGTGTATAATCTTTCTCAGTTGTAATTAGAAATATAATTGATTTGGCTTATGAAGTAAGATTAACCTTGTATTTCATGCCAATCATGTTCAGTGTTTTAATTTCCTAAAATGACAAGGAATATATATTTCATGAGTAGAGTTAGGAATAAGGGTTGGGTTTGAAAGTCCTGTTTAAATAAGAGTTCGAGTTTTGAAAATAATTTTTTTTTAAAGTAAACGGGCTTGAGGGCTTAGCCTTGATACCTGTAAAAAAGTTTTCGGGCTCGAGGAGCCCTTCAAGCCCTGTTATATTATTATTATTATTATTATTATTATTATTTATTATTATTTTTTTTTTTTGGTGGAACACGTGTTTGAAGTTAATGACTTACTTACTTGATCTTATACGTATTATATTATTATTAATTTTAATTTATTATAAAATTAATTTAATATAATTTAATAAATATCAGTGTATAGTATAAAATTCCTAATATTTTTTTATTTTTTTATAATTATTATGTTTATGTAGTTATAAAAAATGAATTGTTTTTTAATCAAGATTTAAATTTAATTACTAGACTTCTAAATGTGTGTTATTTAATTTTTAAAATTTATGAGGATTTTATTTTTTAATTTCAAAATATTTTAATAATTAATTATAATTTATACTTTTATTTTTATTTTTTTTAGTTTTTTGAAAGAGGGCTTGCGGGCTCAACTCTGAGCCGTTCACATAAGGTTGGGTTTAAAAATGAGGTTCAAAATGAAAAATCGGGCTTTAAAGTTTAGATCATTAAGGGTTGAGTCCATAAAGACCAGGCCTTTAAGGTCGGGTCTGTTTATATTGCCAGCTCTATTCATGAGAGTCATGCTCTTTATATCTGATACGGGCATTGCGATCACATCTCATCAGAAATTACATACCATATACTCTATGACCTACCCAAACAGCCATTATAATAAACCAGATTTAATAACAGGAAAAGCAGATATGCAAAATGACGAGCAATTTATTTAAATACCCAAAAGCATCAAGCCCTTGCAATAATTGACAAGTAACAAAAATTCAACGAATGACATTGACATGTTCAATCCACAGAATAAAATTATGACGCACGCCACT